TATTATTGCCAAGTTTAAAAGAGAAACTAACTTCTGAATAGGAAAACTGAATACTATAGCAATTTCTTTCACTTAGTACTTCACCAAATCAAAATACCATAAAAACACTTACGGAAGAGAAAGGTTTCTTGATGTCCCTCCTCTTGACAAGGTAGGCATGATTGTTGCGAATAATTTGCCAACACAAATCTGCTGACATCTTGGCGGCTTCTCTGTAAGAAAAAGAAAATCTTAAATATTTACATACTACAGATATGGGTTTTCAAATGCATTTGAGGAAAGTACTTACTGGAATGGTAGGTAAGCCAAAACATATCCCCTCAATTTTTTAAACTTTGCTATTTCAAAAGATGCTATCCATATGGGTAATCTTTTGGAGCTAGCGATTTTGGTTGCTTGAAACTTCTTTCACCCGTCCTAACAAAGCCCTACATTTGATGGTTCAAAACCCACTGAAAGAGAGTCTACTAGCACTATTTCATTCAGCCACCCTTAGGCTTTGGGGGGTGTTTTCAATCTCATCAATCAAATGTTAACCCAATGTTGCCAGGAAAAAATGAATAAAGAATGGAAAATGCTGTGCACATTTTTAAAATTTTTGTTAAACGTCTCTGCTTGTGCTTAGCCACAAAGGAGTCAATTAGTAAATCTTGTGACCTTACCCAATTTCATCTTTACTTGAATTGGCGGGAAAAATGCATTTACTAATGCAATAAATATCGATGGCGTTATTTTTATTATAAATATAATTACTATAATGCTATAAACATTAGTAACAGCAAAATAAGGTAACGTAAAATATTTTTGTAAATAAAGGAAACGGGTAAATAGGCAAGACAGGCAGTACTCGCAATTGGCTCATTGGTGACTTAGTACAAGTGCAGCCATCTATGTGTAAAATCTATTAAACAAGTAAACTCACAGTGGGCATGGCATCTACATACAACCCATCAGCATTGGGTTAATGTCTTGTACATCAGATTTTGAGTATAGTGCAAAGTTGGTGCAAATTTCAATATACAAGATGTTATAATTTTTCTTAACCTATACAAAATACACAATATAATACAAATATAAAAATATAAAATAGTATTCAAAAAAAAGATTTCAAAAAATCTGTTCAAAGCTATAATTTCACCTTTTCCCTATTAAGCATAATTTCATCCAGGAAGGTATAGGTTCATAGTTATGTATGGTAATTAATGCATGTAGGAGTGGATTTATTTGTTCAAGCTAGGGAGTGTGACAGATGTGGTAAATCTGTTGTAAAGTTTTTTTTTTTACAACATTCACTTTTTTATGCTAGTATGCTGCTCATACACTGAAAATATAGTATGGGCAGACAGTTGAGCCAGGTGTGGGTCTTTGGGGCTATTGAGCATGTGCGTAAAAAGAAATTCTTTGTGTCATTGCTTGGCACTGACCACAGTGCAGACACGTTCATACCCCTTATTAACCTATTCGCGCCGGGTGTCGCGTATACGTGACATGCCCACTGTGAGTTTACTTGTTTAATTGTTTTTACACATCGATGGCCGTACTGTTGCGAGTACTGCCGGTCTCACCCGTTTAACCTTTTCTTTAATTTACGCAGATATTCTATATTATCTTACGTTCCTGTTACTGTTTATAATGTTTATAATAAAAATAACCATCGATATTCATAGCACTAGTAAAAAATACATTTTCCCGCCAAATGAAATCAGGTAAGGCAGAGCCATCTACTAATGTAGATATTTCACAAAATGTAAAACAAATGAGCACAGCATTTTCTCCATTTTTTTTATTTTTACCCGGCGCGAATGGGTTAAGAAATATATAAAACCAAACTGTGATATACAGTGACGAATGGGCGGGCTTACCGTAACCTACATCATCATGGTTACAAACTTCTGAGTACTAATCATTCTGAAAGCTTTATAGACACATACAGAACACTGAAAGGTTGTGGAGGGATCTTAAGGAATGGGTCAAGTAGCCAGGTATTAGAAGCTATTACATTACACAATACCTGGCCCAATATTTATTCATCAAAAATCATGAGAACTCGTCAACTCATTCCTTTTTCCTACAAGCGACAGATTTTACCCACCGCAAGGAGGGAAACAAAGAATTCAGCCTTTACAGCCCCAGTTCCTCTCAATGAGGATAATTCTTCTGTGAGCAAATAAAATCAGGTAAGAGTAAAGACAAATTTCTTATGAAATATCAATAATAAGTTATTAATGTCTGAAACAGTAAGACAAGGACACCATGTATAACTACCAATTATTGACAACTAAGCAATAATATGGTGTTACAAACTGCAAGAAATTCTAGGAAATGAAAACTTGAGACAAAGATGTCAGTTTTTTTTAACAATCAATTTTTTTTTTTTTTTCGGAAAGCCCTGCCCTCGCCCTTGAAAAACGTTCAGTATGTATCTGTCTGATGCCAAAGTACGTGTACGTGTGATAAAAATTCCATAGAAGCCGGCTAAAAGTTCTACATATTGCAAAATACACCTATCATTGGAAATACCACCCGGTTGAGGATGACGCATTATGGTGAAGCACAATAATGGAGATGTGACAATAACTAGGTTAGTAAAATTTAAGTAACATTTAACAAGAACCAGCGAAATCTACATACTTATTGCACAAAGTAAATTTCAAGTAATAAGCAAAATCATGCAATAAAAAACATTCTAATTGGACAATAATACACAGTATTGATAAAAATTATTACCGATTTGGCTATAATATAATATCAACGGCTTCCGGAGTATTTTGGGCTCCGTCAAAGGTCAGTAAATTCCATCTTATATTTTCTGACAAGTATAAGTATTGAATGGCTGCCCTATTTGATGACAATCACTAAAGTTTACATGCTCTGTTACTAAAATGTGTTAGAAAGTTTTTGAGAATAAAATTCATGGAGACTGCATGTGCCACAACGATTGAACGACACACAACTGTCAGTAGCGCTTTTTATTTTCTCTTTGCTTTGTATAATTATTTGTATAAATAATATCAATAAGGCCTTATGCATAAATTTGAGATGGTCTCAGGAAACTTTCAAAATGCATTTTCATATTAACAAGTTGCTTTTGTCGATTCATGATTTGATTCAATATTACTGTACATCAATCAGGCAAAAAGTAATTCCCAATTTAACCGATTCAAAACGTTCTGTGTCTGCCCACTGTCCAAGGACAAAAACGACAAAAATATTTGTTGCACATCACTGCTCTGAGACTAAGTCCACAACACAGCCAGTTCTTGACCCAATGGTGATTGATGAAGAAAACTAAAAAAAACAAAAAAAAACCTACGCTCCGGTGATCAATGGCAGCGTCCTGAATTTGAGCGCGGGAGTTCGATATATCAAGCCGAATCACTGGCTTGCCGCACTTTGGCATACAGCTGCACCCCACATTTTGAGCAGTTTGTTTTCACGCCTATAGGCGCCACCCATTGTGAAGGGGTTAAAGTGGCATGTTATGTAAGTTGGCATTGTAGCAGCACGACCACTGCACCCTGAAGGTCAATGTACTTTCCCAGGTTGGGTCATGCCAGGTCCGCACTCACTGGATAGTGGGCTCCCCTCATTCTCTGCACGCTTCCACAGTACTCATATATTTAAGCCGCAGAAGCGAGATCAGCAATCCCTGATCCTCCAGCAGAGCAAGACAACAGCAGCAGCAGCACAAGGAATGCCCAATCCTTAGCAGACTGGGGAGCTGCCCTGTAGATCTCCAACGTCACCTTCAGGCACCCAGCCATACCCGTGGGCTCTCTCATCCAATCACTCCCCAAAGAGATCAGACACCAGACTAAATAGTAAATGCAACAATAACTACTACAGCATGAAGTGCTAATAAAGGGGGTACAGGGGGCTTGCCCACCTGTCTCGGGAATAAACAAATGGCAGGAAAGGTTTGGTTTGGATTTTGGGTTCACATGGTATCCTGGTTTTGGGATTTCATCTCTAGAGGGGTATCACTCTTGGTAACAAATACCATTATAGTAGATCCAGATCAAAGTCCCAATTTACACCTACCACTAGAAATACTACCATGTCGAGGACATTGAGAGTAACATCTGCATAGACAGCATCAATGCCTTTACACGGAATGGATTTCAATAGTGCAACTTTAGAAAATGTGTTTTTGTACTTCAATTTGTAAGCATAATCGGTAAGATACCAGTGCTGTTTAAGCAACACTTGATAACCTTGCATGAATATTACATGGTCATCAAGAGATTTACAAAAACAAATTTTCTTATCAAACAGTTGCTTCAATTCAATCATAATCTGTACTATGCTTCATTCAGGCAAAAATTAATAACAATAAACCGCAGATTTGTAAACCATAAATGTATCTGTGAAACATCACTCCTGCCCCTAGAGAGTAATGACCACAATCTTACAGTTTATAATGTTTTGCTCTGCTTAAAATCATGCTAATTCTTCCCCTAACTACAGTGCAAAGCTGACTCTTACACATTTCATCAACTCTGCTGAAGGGAATACAAGCTCCGTCATTCAGGGAGTCAAATGCGATGGAAAACATTGACTACAAATTAACAATGCATTCCAATTCCTTTTCCTCGAAAGTCGGAGGCTGGTTCAAACTTGAAAATTTCCCCATAATGGCCTACAGTTTGCTTCTGTACCAATTCCCGGTATATAACACAAGGTGTCGTGACCACATTGCTTGCCTTTACCCTGAAATCAGGAAGCGTTAAATCTTATGACCAATTAAATATTCCTTATACTACTAAATAAATTACGAAAAACAACTAGCACGCGGCTTCCCTGCACCTTCAAAGAAGAATATCGAGCATATCTAGCGAACTCCCCTCCTAAAAGCCCCAATGTTTACATCCTCGACTCCTCTCGCGGGACAACACATGGCTCCTCCAAAGGCCTCCTATTTATTCTCACATTTCTCCCCCTTCTCCTTAATCTCCTTCCACTTTTAAACCAACATAGCCACAACTCGCCGAATCCTCATCGATACACACCGAAATAACGCACCAAATTCCGCTCGGAGAGAAATGTCAGTGAAAAAACCTCGCGCCTTTGACTCACCACAGGGAACGTGAGGCAGGATACCGACAGAAGGAAAGATGGCGCTGTTGTTGTGGCGGAGGAAGCGAACGCGACGAAGATCCACGCGGGGGATAAATGGGACGTTCT